TTAAAAAAAAGACAAGGTGAATTGACATCAAATTTAAAATCTAAACATTTTGAGTTGAACATTTTCCTAAACTCAAAGAAAAACAAGTTACCTGCGCTCTCTCCTTAATCCCTATGTATATTTAGACAAATGGAGGTCATTTAGTTACTCCAATGGCCATCGGAGGGAATGCCCGCCTGCCAACGTCAAGGCAGACCCTCCCTAAGTGGGTCCTACGCCGACCATTCACCTTGCTTCTTTGAGCTTCTGGCAAAGATCTCTAATGAGACAGAAAGGGGTAATTCTCTGTCATTTAGGAGTTAAGTCAGTTTTGTTTCTGTTAATGCAGCTTTAGCAACACCTTCCCTGCCTGTGACTCACACAGCCTACATGAAAAAATTGGTTTATTTTGCAATCAGATGTTAACCTGATTTAGAAGTTTTTATCTCCTTCTCTCTAAATTGAACTTTAATCACACGCAGGAGGCTCATGCAAGGTTAGAAAACTATGAACAGTGCAGGAGATAAGAAATTCTAAGTTTAATTTAAGTTTAAAGTTTAATCATGAGTTGTCTCTTTACAGGAAGTGTAAAAGGCATGTACAGGGAGGTGTAACTAGGGCTGCATAAATAAAGTGATTTAACTCCTAAATGGCAGAAAATTGAGCAGTGAGACCACTGAGGCATGGCCTATACACCAAAACTAATTCAGCAAGCTAAAGTTGTTTGGGAGCCTGTAGTGTTTCTTGAAGTATCTTTCAGGAAAATTATGTGGCAAATGAACATTGTGTGATTAGGCAAGTCTGGCAGTCAGTACACAAAATGCCAAAGTGCACTCTCACATTGAGTAAAATAAAAAGAAGTATCCTTGGATTACCTCCCACAATTTATTACATGCAGTTCCCACCATTGGTATGTTATGATTGGCCCATGAAGCTGTGTTCCTCGGCTGTGAGTGAGCTGTGTACCGACCTGTTAACTTTAGTAAGTCTGTTTATAGGTAAGCGTCCTGCAGCTTAGCTGTGGCGTTAATGAACCAGCTTCACAGCATACTACAAGGGAGCAGAGGAAAGCAGTGCCATGGGCCAAAACTCGCAGTTGAATACCTGCATGGAATACAGTGCTAAAGGATTTTAGGGTTACTGCTGTTGTATATGAATACGTATATCTATAGCAATAAACAATGTGTTTATACCCATCCTATGTATGTTTACATGATACATATGTAGAGTGCCTTGTCAAAGTATTCAAATGTGCATTGAAAATTATATTTTCTCTTGAATACAAATGATACATGCTCTCAGATACCCAAACAACATTTTTAATGCAAACTCATTAGTAGACAAGGAACAGGAGACTGTAGTTGTGGTGATGTGGCAATGTAAAGAAGAAGAAATATAGGAAGGTGGTCATATACCAAGGGCTGAAAGAGAAGCTAGAAAAGATATGTAAAGCAAAAAAGTAGTAGTCCTACTTGTGATAGGAGGATTGGGGGCTGTAACGCCCAAGTTGAGAAAGTGTCTTCAGCAGATCTCAGGTGGGACATCTAAAATATCTGTTCAGAAGAGTATAGTCCTAGGAACAGGTAAGATTCTGCACAGAACCCTAGGTGAGAAAGTCAATAAATAATTACTATTGTGCATCACCTGCATATCTAAGGTTAGACTTTTGTAAAGCCTTCCAGACATCCCAGCTTGATTTCCAAATTAGCAAAAACAGGCATTGTGTTCAGACATCATCCTGCATTTTTGCAGGTACCCTTAGCAATGGATGCTGTTTTAAACACGTTTTTGTTTTTTTTCTAAACCATCGTATGCGATGTGATCCAAAAGGACCAGTGACCAGAAACCAGCCATGGACTGTATAGTTTCAACCTTGCAGGTCTTGTCAGCATGGCACCAGTTCTGGTCTGGAAGTTTAAGTCACTCTGATAGCCTATATAGCTATGTTCCAAAAGGTATGCGGTGAGTCCAAACACAATAAAACTCCCCATAGTGCAAATAAAAAACACGTTTGTGCATCACGTGCATATCTCAAGTGTTTGGTGTATATATATATATATATATATATATATATAAAAAAATTTGAGATATGCAAGTGATGCACAAACTTATTTTTTACTTGCATACTGAAGAGTTTTATTGAAAGTATATATAATGTGTTTGATTTTTTTGGCTTGCTTTTTATTTTATTTTTTATATATATAAAAACTTGTAAGCAATAGATATGATCCCTACAACAGGAAGGAAGGTTAAGTGTTATTAGACTCCTTATCCCATTAGATATAATCAAAGGTAATTAGGTTAGGCATGGCTGAGCCTCTGTCTCACCCTGTGATTGGAAGCACTTGGCTGGAGGAGAATCAGACAGAAGGAAAGTTCATTAGATTGTAGAAACTCAGCAATCTCTCGACTGTCAGTGAGTCACAGACCTAAAAGTCAAGCAGGCTTCCCGTTGCAGTATACCTTTTGCTTTATTACATTCCTCCTTGTAAGGAAAGAGGTTTTTACATTTTTACTATTATAATTTAAATTGTGTCTAGCACTTTCACCAAATAGGAATGTTAATAAAAAATTCATACTCCAGGGCTACAGTGGTTAAAATTAAGACAGCAGGCTGCCTATTACATTTTACTTGTTAGAGTCATAAATAATATATATTTTTTTATAATTGTTCCTGCATAAAAAGCAGTGTGGTCACGCTGTGGCTCATGTGATTGGTGATCTCCATCTACTTCTTGTAGACAAAATATGAGCAGAAATTACGTAACAATTCATGAGTCTTGCTGAATATGTTTATTAAAGGGACAATTCATTTGCATGCGCTGGGTGCAGTTTCCCTGCCACCCTTAGTCCTGTGTCATAAAACATTGCAGTTTCTGAGAAACTGCAATGTTTACATTTTAGTACTAAGGCAGCCTCTAGTGACTGTCTACCAGGCAACCACTAAAGGTACTTCCGGGAGTTAACCGAACTTTGGGTCCCTTAAATTACACTCTGCATGAGGACATCCAGCGTCAGTAAAATCCCTATAGGAAAGCATTGAGTCAATATTTTTCTATGGGGAAGGTCTAATGTTTGCCGCACTTGCCACGCTCGCCGTGCTCACTGAGCCTGAGCATTAGGTCCCCCCATCAGGCGGAACACCGACTCAGCACCGAAAGACATCAGCTCTGGAATCGAATGAGTAAATAAAGGGTTTTTAACTCTTTATATGCCAAAGGGCGCCAGAGGGCTCTATAGTGTTGGGAATACAACTTAATAGAATTCCTTTACATTCCTTTAGTTAAAAGGTTAATAATATATGTAAGCTTTACACTAATGTGTACAGTGAAGGGTTTCTAATACAAGTCAATGTGGATATACAGGTATAACCAGAGACAAGATAGATGGACAGACAGACAGACAAATGTAAGGCTTTGTTTTCAGAATCCTGTGAATGGGTAAATGTTGCATCACTGTCTCAAAAGAACACATGATGACCACATACGTTCAATTAATGTTCAAATGAATGTTTAGCAATCAGTCTTGCACTTACAAATACAATAAAAGGAAATACCGGATGATTATAATATCAATTGGTTAGAGTAGATTCTTTATGAATTAATCTTGTCCTTTCTCCAATATGTCTATAAGAATGGACTTATTCTCTTATAAATAGGCTCATTTATAAACTTGTTCTATGAAAGCACACAATTCAGATCTAGGCCAGCATTAAGACATTATAATAGAACCTTTATTGTCTGTGTAATATAAGCATTTTATAAGGTAAACTACACATACCCCTGCAGACCCCAAGGAATGCAAACACTGCTGTAGGAACTGATAACAGTCACAGACCCACACAAATGACTTCATCTCACTGACTGATTTTGCTGAAGCAAGGAAATCAATGCAGTCTATCTGCTAATGGGAGGGAGGGAGGGAAAATGAGGAAGAATGAAAGAATCAGGGGTAGGCAGAGAGGGAGAGACAACACCCTCCACGAATAACCACATATCATAAAGAGAAACATTTACAATATTCCAGTATCTGTTGCATTCTAGACTGTATTAATTAATATTCAGAACACAGTGCAATCGTTTAACCATAACATAATAAAATAAACTTTATGGATTGTTAAAAATTTGATTGTAATAAAGGTAATTATCCGGAATGTATAATGTCCTTCTTTTAGTCAGTAGTTGGGCTGAATGGACTTAGAGCTGTGATCATTCTCAGGTGAATGCTCGTGATATTATAAACTTGAATATTCAGTATCTGTGTGTGTCATTGTTGGTATTTGTGTACCTGCATGTGTGTCAGTGTTTATATATGTGTGTGTATCTGTATGTGTGTCAGTGTGTGTATCTGTGTGTCATGTGTCTGTGTGTATATGTATCTGTACGTATGTGCCAGTGTATATTTGTGTGTATCTAAGTGTGTGTGTACCTGAGAGTATGTGCCAGTGTATGTATCTGTGTGTCAGTATGTATCTGAGTGTGCCTGTGTGCATATCTGTGTGTATATGTGCCAGTGCATGCATCTTATGTTAAGTGTGTGTCTGTCAGTGTGAGTATATGCCAGTGTACATGTGCGTATACATGTCAGTGTGTGTATCTGTGTGTCATGTGTCTGTGTGTATATGTATCTGTACGTATGTGCCAGTGTATATTTGTGTGTATCTAAGTGTGTGTGTACCTGAGAGTATGTGCCAGTGTATGTATCTGTGTGTCAGTATGTATCTGAGTGTGCCTGTGTGCATATCTGTGTGTATATGTGCCAGTGCATGCATCTTATGTTAAGTATGTGTCTGTCAGTGTGAGTATATGCCAGTGTACATGTGCGTATACATGTCAGTGTGTGTATATGTGTGTCAGTGGGGGGGGGTGGGGGGATGGGGAGGGAGGAACCTGGTGAAGCCAATTCCCTGAAATTAGGTTTTGCATTTTGGGATGTCTGCTACTGCCTTCACTTTCCACATCTGTTCCAGCTGCTTCTCTTTCAGTCCTTGGTATTTGTCCACCTTCTCATGTTTCTTCTTCCTGATGTTTTAGGCACTGGGTATTGGCACATTCACCACCACTTCCGTTCCTTATCTACCACCACAATGTCAAGTTGGTTAGCTACTACTTGCTTGTCTATCTGGATCTGAAAGTCTCACAGGATCTTAGTCAACTACCCTTTGTGGGATCTCCCATCTGGACTTAGGCAGGTCCAGCCCATATTCTGTGCAGATATTTTGGTACACAATGACAAGGACCTAGACAACTTGGTTGTCTAGGTCCCTCGACCCCATCGATAGGGATTAAAAAAGGTAGTTTACTTACCTTTTACCCTCATGGTGCCATTTCCTGTGCTACTGTCCTGCCTGCTTGGCTGAGATCATCGATAAACTCAGCCAATCCAATGCTTTCCTATAGGAAGGTTTATATGAGACCATATGATTAAACTAGCAGATTTTTACTCTGCTATATTGGAAGAAGCACCTCTGGTGGCTGTCTGAGTGACAGCCAATAGAAACATTTTATCCGTGCAGTGAAAACATTTTTGTTTTGCACAATGGCAGTGTTTCCACTTGCAGGGTTAAATCTGGGAACACATGGCACCCAGACCACTATATTGAGATTAAGTGGTTAGGGTGCCTATAGTGTATAGTTGAGCATATTTGTTTTCAGAAAACAAAGATTATTCAATAAAAATGCAAAAAACCCCACTAAATTGAAACTAGAATCAGGAGAGTACCAGTGTCAAATAACAGTTTAGTAGAATTTAAAGTACATTAGTTTTCAAGTTGCTAAATTAATCTTAAATTGTTTTAGTTTGATATGAAAAGTTGAGTTGTGTGTCAATGTCCATTGAGCACAGTTAAATGAATACTCCAAATACCATAACCACTTAAGAGCTTAGTGGTGGTTATGGTGCCAGGAGTATCCCACCTTCCCACCATTGCAAGTAGTCCCACTCCACTACTTCAGATGAAGAGCAGGAAGGTCCTAAGCAAGGGCTTCCAGTAAAGGGCTGGCTCAGTGACTGACAGTGTCAGCTGATCCCATGAGCTAAGCCTGCTCTCTGTCTGAAGAGACCCAAAGTAAGAAGTCAAATCTGTAGAAAACCATTAAAAATAAGATAAACTTAAATATCTAAATAAACCTTAAAGGAAATGGTCCAGAACAGATTTAGACATTGTGCAGACCTGTCAAAATTGAAAATATTGGCTGTAAGCAGATTTACATTGTAAGGATTCTCATAGAGATTTTTTATTTATTTTTTTTGCAAGAATTTTCCTCTGTATAAATATTTGACAGGATCCCAGACGCTCTGATGAATCATGAGAGAAATGACTGTCCTCCTTACTGGATTAATTATTCAGGGAAATGTGGACAAATAAAGCCATCAGACATGTTTATAGAAAAATAATGATACTAGTTGGTAAAAAAATAAATAAATAATGATACTAGTTGGTAAATTAGGCTACTGTTACAATAAATATTCCAAACACATAAACATTGCGTTAACCAATCAGCATTTACAGGGATGGGTTTTCCATTAGGCAGAGTAGGTACCATCCTACAGGTGTATTACTGATGGAAACGTATACTCTGACTGATAAAAGCTCTCCTTCCCTCCATCTTCTTCTCCTTCTCTTCTTCCCTCTTCTGCTGCTTGCTGACCGGGAAATATGCTCCAGGACCCTAAGACAGCAGTATTCACTCTGAGAAAGCCTAATCTGTTTATGCGCCTGCCCCCTCAGACTGAAGTGAGAGGGAAGAGGAGTGCCATGAAGAAGGGAGAGGACAGGGGCCAGAATGGCCAACTCAGAAATGACAAGAACTCAAATACACACAGCTATGCATACTGCTTACCTATTAGATGACCAAGGCTCCCTTGGTGGGAAGTTCTGGTTCTGAGCAGGCAGGCCCAAGCCAGCAGGTAGACTAAATGAGCAGCATGGCCCTGCATTCCCTCACTTCATTGAGGATGTGTTGTGGTCTGTATCAATATCCAGTACAGACCACTTTACGAGTGCCCTTGCAGCCTTCCTGCGCTTCTTGATGACTCTGACTGAGTGCTGGAATCACAAGAGCGCTTTCATACTGGTCTGTACCTGGTATTGGTACAGACAATGGAGCTCCCTCACCTGACCACCAGGGATCCAGCTCACCATTCACTAGACCACCAGTCAAGGCAAGCAAAGGGGGGCAAGGGGGACATAACATACAAACAACACTCAGTCACGCTCAGACACACACACACAATTTTCAGCCACCACAAACACAACAATCTGCTGCTACCCAGACACTGTTATCAACACACAGACACACATAAATACTGCTACACACACTACTACACATGCTGCTGTAACAAACAATAACTGCTGTACACATAAGCTCTACACAACTGACGCACAGAACCAGTAATCTCTACACACATAGAGAAACACTCTAAACTGCTGTACACATTACACAAATATATGCACACACTTTCTCTATAAGTGTTTGTATACAATAATTTTTATCATATCTAAATGGTTTGTTTTTCTATTTTTATTAGTTTGGAGGGGAGGAGATTGTGTGGAGCTTACAATTTTGTGTCTACAGGTGCTTGTGATGTAAATCCGTCCCTGCGCACAAAAAAAAGCATTACGTATATCTCTATATTACACTAATGACACTTGTGAATTGCATGTATGTCTGGCATGACCTACATCAGTTTATGTCACATGAATTCTGTGTCTTTCCTCTGGCTTAGTCACATTGGGACTGCTGTCAAGAAATGCCACCCAAGACCAGAAATGGTAGAATTGGTATAGCAGCTATGGATGTCTCCCCCTTCTTGTGCAAATCATGGAAAGAGATGAAGTCTAAGAAGAAGTTGAGTTACCTAGACATTTGAAGTGTATTTACTCTCATGTTTGTAGTGCTTTCAAGTCCCTGCCATTCTCACATTTAAGCAGACTCCAAAACTCTCACTCCACATGATGTTTATTATGTTTATTTATCCTCTATATTTAGCAGATATGAAAATTAACCCCTTAACGCCGTTACGGCATTCTATGCCGTCCCGCCTTAAAAGGGCTTTAAAGCCGTTGCGGCGGCATAGAACGCCGTAACGTCTTTCTATCCATGGAGGTCCGGTGGACTCACCTCCGCCATGATCCTCTTCTGGAGGGCTGCCTGACAGCCCAAGCAGCCCTCCCCCGGCAAATGAGGCCCCCGGGGGCCATGTGATCGCTCTCAAAGAGCGATCACATGGCCCCCTATAGCTGGCCGTGGATCTGCCAGCAGGGGGACTGTCTGAAATGTCAGACAGTCCCCCTGCTGGTGGGAAGTATAAAAAATATATATTAGACATGTGTAAAATTAAAATAGAAATGTATTTATATATATAATATATGTGTATATATCTATTATATATATAATATATATATATATATGTCAATATATATATATATTATATATATGTAACATCATACAAAGTGTATTTTAATATTAATATAAGTACATATATTAGTATTAAAATACAGTTAGAATGACGTTACATATATATAATATGTTTATATATTATATATAATAGATATATACACATATATTATATATATATATATATATACGTATAATTACAATAATAAATAAATAAAATAATTAAATAAATAAATAAAATATTGAAACAAAATTTTATATAAATTATATATTCATATGTAATTTCATTCTAACTGTATTTTGTTATTAATATATATATTGGTAACAAAATACATTTAGAATGACATTCTATATATATCTATCTATATATAAAATACAAATAACCGCAAATATATATATATATAGATAAATACATATAATTACATAAAAGATTACATTAGTATACACGTAGAATTTAAATACCTATAAATGCATATATATTAAAATTCTACGTGTATATTTAAGTAATCTTTTAACATAATTATGCGATTTGATTAATTAACATTTGATTGACATGCCTGACAACACAGGGAGAAAGTGCAGAGAATTTAATTCGCAAGCACTATATTTGACCCTGTAACTCTCTAAGACACCATAAAACCTGTACATAGGGGGTACTGTTTTACTTGGGAGACTTCGCTGAACTCAAATATTAGTGTTTCAAACTGGTAAATTGTATTACAACGATGATATTTTAAGTAAAAGAGAAGTTTTTTTCATTTTTTACAAACGAACGGCACTTTTATGGACTATATTATTGTTGTAATATGTTTTACTGTTTTAAAACACTAATATTTGTGTTTAGTGAAGTCTCCTGAGAATAACAGTACCCCCCATGTACAGGTCTTATGGTGTTTTGGAAAGTTAGAGAGTAACATATAAGGCTTGCATTTCATTTTTTTGACATTGAAATTTGCCAGATTGGTTATGTTGCCTTTGAGAGCGTATGGTAGCCCAGGAATGAGAATTACCCCCATGATGGCATACCATTTGCAAAAGAAGACAACCCAAGGTATTGCAAGTGTGGTATGTCCTGTCTTTCTTAGTAGCCACTTAGTCACATGTGACAGCAGTGAATTACGGTTGAACAGACATATAGCGCAAATTCCAGTTTTTGTTTACGTTTTGATCAGAACGTGCACTATTGACTCCGTTCTGAAGGGGTTAAAATGAAATGCAAAAATCCACACAGCTGTATCAACCTCTGTCTAGGGCCGTCTTTATTATTGATTGGACCCTGGGCAAAGCCTTTGATTGGGCCCCCTGGATCCTGCCCCCCTCCTCCCTTGCATGCAATCACACCATCCACCTCAATGGTGGAACTAAAGTAAAGAGGTGCAATAATTTTTTGGGGCCCCCTATTGCAAGGGTGACAAAAAGGGAGATCACCATCTGTCGTGCAACTCCAACAATGCATTTACAGCTGGAGATCTACCATTTACCCATGTTTGCAGGTTTGTATTTAGCACTGAGCAGTGTTTGTGTAAATGTAGGGATGTGCTTGTATGTGGTGTTTCTGTTTGAATGCAAGCATGTATTTATGTGTAGTGTTGGTTTATGATTGCAGTGGTGTGTTTATTTATAATTTTGATGTTGACACAGATGTGTGTGTTGTATGTAGTGTTGATGTTTCAACGCAGGAGTGTGTTTGTATGTAGTGTTGAAGTTTGAATTATGGGTCTGTATTTGTGGGTTGTGTTGGTGTGTGTATGCACATAAACACACACAAACACTGAAATACATGTAGATACACAGACATACACACTGACACACATGCAGTTATACAGACACATATACACACACTGACATACAGATAAAGTCACACAGACTGACACACAGATACACAACCTGACACACATGCAGATACACAGACACACACAGATACACATACTGATAACATACAGATACACGGAAATACACAATGATAACACACATACACATATACACACACTGACACACTTGCAGATACACAGATACACACACAGACTACATACAGATACACACACAGATATACACACAGATACACAGATACATATAGTGACAGAAATGCTGACACACACAGATATACACTGACAGACATACTTATACAGACACATACAGACAGACACATACTAACACACACAGACATACTGAAAGACATGCTGACACATTCACCAACACACACATACAATGACATACTGACACACACAGACTGGTGACAGACATTCACAGACACACACAAACTAACAGACATACTGACACACACAGACATACACACTGACAGACATACTGACATACAGACATATACTGACAGACATTCACAGACACACACACACAAACTGACAGACATACTGACATGCACAGACATATACTGACATACATTCACAGACACACACACAAACAAACTGACAGACACACGCAAAATGTACACTTTTAAGCCCACTCTCCAGTTTCCTACGTAGAAGAGTTGTAGCTGGTGACTGAAGCAGTTGGGAGTTGGGGTCTGAAACTCCTGGCCTGACACCCTCCTCTCTGCCTCCTCCGTCTTTCCCACACGGCTCATCTCTTTGTGGGAGAAAGTGACTCGTGGCCGTCACTTCCTCCCATGTTGCTGGAAATAAAAGTGAAACGCGCCACAGCGCACAATCGGGCCCCTTAGTGCATGGGCCACCCGGTGGGCCTCCTTAGCATGTGGGTCCCCGGCAGCACTGGCGGGCCTATGGAGGAGAAAAAGAAATGGTTGAGGTTGCCCTGTTTGCCCCGTCTTTAACATGGGGCGAACAGGGCAGCTGCTTCGGTCCCCCCAGGAGTAACTAGGCCCGGGGCAGCTGCCCTGTTTGTCCCGCATTAAAGCCGGCCTTGTCTCCTAGAACTGGCTGCCCCTATCTTGGCTCCATGTCAATCACTGTTTTGAAAGTTGCCTTTTTTGCTATTGAACATAGTTAGTAGAAGCAGAGAAAGAGAAACAATGTTTCTGTACTTCTCCTTATTTGCATTGTGTGCCTTGGCTGTGCCTGGATCTGAATTAGATAAAGATGTCACTTGTTTATTTTATTTTATTAAAAAGAACTTGACACATGGAAAGTGCTTTAACACAGGTTATAGGTGTTCACTGTATTGTTAATTGTTTTAAATGTCATTTCCATAGAATTGACAAGTCAATGTTGAACAAAGGAATGCGCATGCGATGTGCTGGGTGTGTCTAGGCTGGGAGATCAGAGGGTCTCCCTCACACCCTCTGCCCCCCACACCACAAAGCCAATTCATCTTATCCAGTGATGGCAGCGGTCCACAGCTGGTCCCTTATTCAAGGACTTGATGTGTACTTCCAGATCAGGTTCTCCTCTTCTTATACAGTATTAGAGCATTGGCACTGATTAAAAGCTTCATTTCCAACTTGACCACTAGGGATCAGGATTGCCCCCTCCCTGGCCCAAGGTAGGCCTCATGAAGGGGGGGAGGAACTTTATTTTTAATATTTTTTCTTAATTATTATTATTTTAAACGTTCTTCTCAGTCCCTTATCTACCCCACTACATCCTATAAGCCCCCCACTTCAGCAACAAGCCCCTATTATGGCCCCCTAACTTTCTAGCCCCCACTACAGTTGCCAACCCCCCACCACAGGTTTTATTCAACCCCTAACCCCTAACCTCCTACTTCAATATCCAATACTCCACTACCACTACAGCCATTATTCACCCACTACAGTCACCATCCCCCACTCAGCCCCTATCCCCTTGTAAAGCTCCTAACTCCCCACTTATTACCCTAACCCCCTACTACAGCCCTTATCCATCTACTCGTGACCATATCCTCCAACCAATGCCTTTAACCTCTCACTACAGCCCCTAAACCCCCACTAGCTCTATGGAGCTGAGGGGCATCTAACTTGACTCTCCCTTCTCATTGTATACTAAATTGAAATTCCTCTACTTCCCACATCTATTTCCCACACATTGTTACATTCATCACTCACAGCTACTCTCCCAGCTACCAACACACAGCTACACACATTACTCACAGCTTTACACATATTACAGACAGACAGTCTTAAACATCACACACAGAAAGCCACAATACAACCCTCAAACCCAGCTACAACAGTTATAGCCACGCTACACCTACACAAGACACACACCCACACCACACATCCACTCAACATTTTAATAAATATTCACATGACATAACATTAAAAATAACATAGGGGAAAACACACTAATGAAATGGGCTGTGCATGTCTGTGATGCTCAATGTAAGGGTCTTGTGTCTTTCATATCTTAATGACTTCTACATCAGTTTACTGTGAATTCTCAAAAGCTATTGCTAAAAAAAAAAGACAAAGAAAGGTCTTTGAAATGCAATATCAAATCTACAACCCAGTTGCTAAATTATATCAGTGTAACCTGCACTATTTCTAACAATTAGTTGGCTGTCTTGAATGGCAGGATCAGTTTGCCATGACAAGAATGGTCCAGTCAGGGCATACTCTTAAAGGATTACAATAGTGTCATGAAAACAAAGCGGTTTTCCTTTAAAACCCCTTCAGCCACTGACCTCTCCTCCCCGTCCAACGTCAGCTCCCCCGTTCGATATCGCTGGATCCGAATGCGCATGTACGGCTAGTGCCGCGTGCGCATTCAAAGTGTCCACAGGAAAGCATTTCTCAATGCTTTCCTATGGACGCTCTGCGTGATGGAGGCAAAATTCGCCTCCAGCGTCGCAGATGCGCCTCTAGTGGCTGTCCAGAAGACAGCCACTAGAGGCTAGATTAACCCCAAATGTAAACACAGCAGTTTCTCTGAAACTGTTATGTTTACATGTGAAGTGTTACAACCTGAGGGACCTGGCACCCAGACCACTTCATTGAGCTGAAGTGGTCTGGGTGACTATGGTTTCCCTTTAAATTACAAAATGCATGAAATGTACTAAACTTATTAAAGAGTTGACCTACAAGGGATTGATACTAATAGGGGATACTCAAAAACATAGCTATAATTAAAGGGACACTATACTCATCAGAACAACTACAGCTTATTGAATTTTTTCTGGTGAGTAGAATTATTACCTTCAGGCTTTTTGCTGTAAACACTGTCTTTTCAGAGAAAATGCAGTGTTTACATTACAGCTTAGTGATAACTTCACTGGCCACTCCTCAGATGGCTGTTAGAGATCCTTCCTGGGTCACTGCTGCCTAAAATGCATCCAAACATTCAGTGTCTCCTCCCTCTGCATGCAGACACTGAACTTTCCTCATAGAGATTCATTGATTCAATTAATCTCTATGAGGAGATGCTGATTGGCCAGGGCTGTGTTTGTATTTTGTTGGCTCTGCCCCTGATCTGCCTCCTTGTCAGTCTCAGCCAATCCTATGGGGAAGCACTGTGATTGGATCAGGCCACCACTTCTGATGATGTCAGCAGGTCTAAAGGAAACAGGGACAAACTATGCAGCTGCAGGCTTGAATTCAAGTAAGATTTTACTTTATTTTTAGAGGCATGAGGGAACCAGGGTGGCTAGATGGTGGTTTTAACCCTATAGGGTCAGGAATACATGTTTATGTTCCTGACCCTAAAGTGCCCCTTTAAATTAACTAAAGCTCTTGTAAATGCAATTAAGCAGTAAGGAGATATGTGGTGGGTTTGTTTCTTGTTGTGATGGGTCAAAACCAGGGCCGGTGCAAGGATTTTTGCCACCCTAGGCAAAAGTAAAGTTTGCCGCCCCCCCATCTGACATCACAATGCCCCACCCATATGATCTGCCATGTTAACTAACGCCAGTGCTGCAGTGCCGCCGTGTTTACATTAAAAGGCCTGCAGGGACAGGCTATGGATACCAGAATCACTACATTAAGCTGAAGTGGTTCTGGGGACTAGAGATTAGTGCCACGAATAATATACTAGATTGCCTATTTACAACCAGATGAGGATGATGATGGGCTCTAGCTGCAGTCTGGCTCCACTGGTCTGGTGTAGAACAGGCTCCCTGGAGGCTGTTTGTAACTGTGGTCACAAAAATCAATGTTCTGGGAGAATGGGAAGCAGCTCCATTTTTTTTAAGGCCCTTTATTTTTTTTTTGAATCTGTGTTTGTATGTGTAAGGGCTGTAAGGTGTGTTTCTGTGTATGTACGGGATGCATTGAGTGTGTGCATCTGTAAGGGGTGCATTGAGTGTGTGTAAGAAATGCATTGTGTGTTTCTGTGTGTGTAAGGGATGCATTGTGTGTAAGGGTTGCATTGCTTGTGTGTGTGTGTCTGTGTGTGTAATGCATTGTGTGTTTTTCTGTGTGCAAGGGGTGCATTGTCTTTGTGTGTAAGGGGTGCATTGTGTGTGTGTGTGATGGATGTCAATCTCTTCTCCCCCCTCTCCCTCCCTTGTCCCTCTCTTCTCCCCCCCTTGTCCCTCTCTTCTCCCCCCTCCCTTGTCACTCTCTTCTCCCCTCCCCACTCTCATTCCCCCATCAATTCCCCTCCCTGTCAATTTCCCCCTGTCCCCCCCCTGTCAATTTCTTCCTCCCCTGTCAATTCACCCCTCCCCAATTTCCCCTGTCAATTCCCCCTTCCTGTCAATTTCCTCCCTGTCAATACCCCCCTCCTGTCAGTTCACCCTCCCTGTCAATTCACCCCTCCTGTCAATTTTCCCCTCCTGTCAATTACCCCTCCTGTCAACCCTCCTGTCAATTTCCCCTCCCTGTCAGTTCCCCTGTCCATTTCCCTCCCCGTCCATTTCCCCTGTCCATTTCCACCTCACCTGTCCATTTCCCTCCCTCCACTGTCCATTCCCCCCCCATGTCAATTTCTCCCCCTACCTCCCTGTAGCATGGCCGATCCCTCTATGGTATGGCCCGTGGGTACAGGGAGCTTTTGTTTCCTGTACCCAGCCGGACTAACAGGAAGTGAACACTCAGGTGACAGGAAGGAACGCTCAGTCATGGTATGGGCAGACTAGATGGGCCGAATGGTTCTTATCTGCCGTCACCTTCTATGTTTCTATGTTTCTTTGGGCATATATCAATGTTTGTCAGCCCCTCTCCCCATGCTGCGCCCGGGTGGCGTGGTCCGCCATTATGGACGCACCGCCCGGGCAAAGCCGCAGCCGCCTGAGGCTCTCTGCAGAGCGCTCGGGCGGCTGCAGCATGAGCGGGGCCGGCGCTCCTGGCGGCGTCCCCTCCCAAGGGGCGCCCTAGGCGGCTGCCTAGTCCGCCTTACAGGTAGCGCCGGCCCTGGTCAAAACCTATATTCATATAGTAGCTGGATGATGGAATTTGTGTCATTATACTCACAATGTGGAGGTAAACTGAAAGGAAAATATTTTTTTCTGGTGGGCAAATGTTTGATAGCATGCCTATTATGAATGCATTGTCCTAGATGAATGCAGCACGGCCTCTCTTGAGTTGCTAGATGCAAAGGAAACACATATACGAAAAACCCAACAGAAAGAGGAAATACTAAACAATGTAAATATAAATCCTCGTGGTATGAAACTATTTTGTTTTATTTTTTTATTTTCGTTTAGCACATTCATCTGTTGCATTTGGTGTTGTTTGCTTTTTTATTTGTGTGGCAACAAATTGTGCTAATACATTGTATTTACAAAAATGTCAAGTCTATTGAACTGATTGGTAAATGAGCAATGCATTGTGAATGTAGAATAGAGAAAATATGCTAAGCATGACCACTAAGTGTCCACACTCACTATTTGCATAACAAATCGCCATGATAATAAGGAAATGTTTTGGGTTTTGCAGTAGCACAATATTTTCATGCTGGCCAAAGCAAGGAAGGAGGGTAGGTAGTAGGATTTAGGAACTACTTGAAACAAACATAAAATATAGGGTCTG